TATATGTTATTAGAATAATAGCTTGTTCGTCAATGTCTGGCGAACACTAATGCTAATACTTCCGCAGAGGAGCACATTTCTCCTGAAAAATAGAAGAATTTGAAAAACTAAGGATTAAGGTAACTTGTGGCTTCTGCTAGGACCGATGAAACCAATTCTGACAGAAAAAAGTTTGCCTCATTTTGATCATTGAAAAGCTCCACTTCCTCTTTTGGATGTATGCATCTTGCGGGCTTCTCTCTTGGTTTCAGCACTTTGTATGCCTGAAGCCTCTTCTGATTTGCTGCCCACAGTGACTTGCACATGTAAATTAAATATAATGAACATATTCTAATGTGTATACTTGTATTATTATTACACAATGAGTAAGAGAGAGAGAGAGAGAGAGAGAGAGAGAGAGAGAGAGAGAGAGAGAGAGAGAGAGAGAGAGAGAGAGAGAGAGAGAACTGTGGGGAAAAGTTCCGAATGTTCTCAAAACGAAGCATCTTGTCATACCTTTTTCTTTGTCAGCGTATACATTTTTTACCCGGGTTATTTATATCTCGTCCTATATTTTTGTCGGTCCTTTCTTTTCTTCGTCTTGTGTTGCACTGGGTTCTGTAGGGCGCAGAATTTATGAACATTATACCTAGATGTTTATATGAAGGCACGGTGAGGTCTTGCACGGACACTGGGATAGTTTTATTTTGTTGTGTATCTTTTTTATTTCCATTTTTTAAATATATTATATATTTATATATATACATTGTATATACGTTACATGTATGTTTTTGAAAGTACTTCTTTTTTTCCTCTAAAGATCTTGCTTGAAGAGTTTTATTTATTTTTACGAAATGTATTCGGTGAAAGTGCACAAATTTTGAAACAGTACGTATAAGAATGATAATAAAAATACAGTGGGGTGGTGGGGATGGATGATCGTAATATGTAATTTCTATTTTCCATGAACAATATTCTTATTTTTTGTCTTTTTTTATTTCTTTGTGTTAATGAGTGCTTTACTTTAGTAATTGGTCAAGTCAAGTGTGAGATTGTAATGCAGGAAAACGTCTTTGGGTTAAATAGATTGTTGTTTTTGCACTGTAAAGTTCGGATTAATGTTCATAGTAACGGCTGGGTTTTCCTCTAGCGTCTATGTGTGCAGAATGTTTAATTTCATAGATGTGGGACATTGAACAATTTTTAATTTGTTTGAGATGTTTAATGGATGTGAGGAAATAGAATAGTTTTAGCAGGAGGAAGTAGATAGTTGTCATACAGGCATGTAGCTGAACAGTGAGAGTTGGTCTGTGGGGACTTGACTCGCCACAGGGAAAATCATAGGTGGAAAAGTTACCAACTTGTGTCCCGTGTCCTCATAATTATGATGACCTTATGGAGTTGCGAATGCCGTTAAACTCCTACAAAACAAACGACAATGAAATTTGCCAATGTAATAATTTTTATGTAGACCTACTTGATATCTTTAGTGCCAGGTAACGGAACACAAATACTCTGTTTTAAAAAAAAACGTTCTTTAAAATTAACAAAACCTGTAAAAGCTCTTAATATTGGTCAATATGGATGTAAAACTTGTCCAATCTACCACAGAGGTCCAGAGTTCCCTGTTCCTGGACGGCTCGTGTATAGTGTCCTGTTGTCCATGACCTACATTTGCCTTCTTGTCCTCCAGTTAGTTCCGGCTGTATGACCTTGACCTACATCTGCCTTCCTGTTCCCTGCTACCTTCAGTTAGTCCGGCTGTATGTCCTTCACCTACTAAAACTCCGCCACTCCCAAGCGGCATGACATTGACCTACTTTACATCCCCAATGCTGGAGACGCCTGAACCTGACCTAGTTTATTCTCGCGACTTCCCGAGACGACTGGCCTTGACTTCTCCCTCAAAACCCTGATACTTCTGGTATTGTGACCTAGTTTCTGATTGAAAACCTTGAAACGCCTGAACTCAGCATAGTTTCTTCCCTTGACACCCCTATAATTCTTATCTTGACCCAGTTAGTATCCTCAAAGCATGAGACGCCAGCTTGTGGCCTAGTTGTTTCCCTCAACACCTTGGTACTTCTGACGTTGATCCAGTTTCGTTCTCAAAACACCCCAATAACCTGACCTTGACCTAGATTCTTCCCTCAACACCCCGATAACCTGACCTTGACCTAGTTTCTCCATCAAAGCACTCCTAAACATACGACCATGACCTAATTTTTTTTCTTTCTCTCTCTCTCTCACCC